CAACATCATTAGCAAGCAGAGAGCCTTTCTTTCCAAGCTCTTGATTCTCCACAGACAACAGCTTTACCACTTCCTTCAATCGGATATTTTCTTCCAAAAGGCTCTTGTTCAAAGACGAATTCCCCTGCAAGAAAAAAATTAGCTTGGTTTTTAACATGAACGTAAATCCTCAATATGTCATTGTAAGCTATATCGTATGAGTGCCTTATTGAAGAATCTTTTGTTTGCTGTATCGTTTGAGCGGCTTATTAGAAAAAGCTCTTTTCTCTACAAATCAACTTAACATTTAGTCAAGACATCTTTTTATATAAGGCTTAATGCACAGGGAGAACCAAGTCATCAGCTGAGTCTTACATATGTATATGCCCAATAAACGATTAACACTTTCAGTGGTATGAAATTTAAAGCTATGCAACCCGACCGCATACCTCCATTGCTTCTTCAAGTGGCATATCTTTCTGTTTTGATTCAAAATGCTTCTCATTTAGTGCACCCAATTCCTGCTCCTTTTCTTTCAGACGATTTGCCATCACGAAGCACTCATAATCAAGTTGCTTTTTATCGCTAAGTGCCAAAGCAAGCCTTTCTGTCATCTCTCTATTTTCTGAGATGAGATTCCTCATCCAATTGGTACTTGGGAGCTCCTTTCGCTGTCTCAATTCCTCCAGTTGGATTATTGCTTAATGTAAAAAGCATTAAATTAACTTTGTAACAGTACAACCACATAAAACGCCGTAATACTTTGAAATTCTCTCTTCTCTCAAGAGCCTCAATCAATTAAAAACCATACACTTTTTGTAAGTTTACATTCTCGAAAAGAAAAGTGCATAGGCTAAGTAAAATACGATCCATTCAGCAAAAACTGGCAGACTAGAAAGTAAACTGTCTTTAAAATAATGAAAGCAGACATCTAGACAAAATTCATTTGAAGTTGAGGCAAATATTCTGTAGAATAAAGAACTTAAGTCATTGAACGTTCTACTGCTAAACCTTTCAAAATCAAACTGAGATACAAATTTTGCTGGATACAATTTAAGTTGATTTTATTACCCCCTGTTTCTTCAATCCTACCAAATCCTGCTTGAATTGAATTTATATATAGTTGAAAATGATAAAATCATTCTAAAAATACTGTTTAGTTACTTAAAAAGACAGTAAAAGTCTGTTATGCTTACAGTTTTGTACAACATCTTCCAGGTGCTCCAATCTTTCTCTTATATCCTCAATCTCCTTATCCTCGATATCTAACTGGCGCTGTTGCAGCTCTGTTTCTCGTACAATGGCGTCCATACTCGTTAAAGCAACACCACTGTCCGACCTTAAAAGGTTTAGAAAACTACCGCTTTCCAGTTTTTCATCCATAATTGCCAAATTTTTCGTACGAATAATCACCTTCGACCTGCTCTCACTCAACCGTCAAGGTTATGGCAAACCTAACTCTCATCTCAACTTATTTATGTAGCACAAAGTGAGTGTGACGTCAGATTAATGTGACGTGGGATATCGAGGACTGGAATACAGTTCATCAAAATCTCAATTGATTGATTTTTAATATTGTGGAGAGATTTTCACTTATAGTTTCGAGAGAGATTTCCAACATTTAAGCATTGTTTTAATAAATTCATGTTATTTTCATTTTCTATTCAGACCTATACGATGAACTGATTGAGTCCTAATTCCATCATTTAGTTAGCATTTGTCAAGATTTTTTATGAAAGTGCGTGTGTAAAAGATAAAAAAATATATGTACTATAAGGATCTACAAAAATCCACTTATATAGATGGAATTTCAAAGGTTTAGCTATTAAATATGACAACTAATAGAGAATAATTATATTAAATATATCTGCCATACCCTATCAGTTCTCGCCACAGCATACTTCCTTTTATTTTGATGATTCAATTAAGCAAGTTTGTATTTACTGGCAAGATTGAGAAATAATGTGAAAAAAGACTACTCTTTCAACGAAATGCAATATAAATTGCCAAAAAAATGGAATTATAGAAATATATGGTTTCTAAAAAGGTATATTTGACATGATGCCAAAATCCTAAATAAATAGATAATAAACCACCAATAATAGATACAAGGATAAAATATTCGCTGTCCTTAATGTTATTTTAGCTTTCAAAAGAGGAGCAAAGCCAAAGAAAGAAGTGATTTTTGCCGACAAGAAAGGGCGTGTCTCACACTTAAAGGGTGTGATCAAAAGATAAATACTCTTACATGCTGCTTTTATGCGTATCTGTTTCAAAGTCCATCCTTTATTGCCACACTTTGAAAGTTCAACTATTACAGAAATATTAATGCGTTACAATTATTGCAAAAAATTTACAGGGAAAGTACATAAATTGCTATTTTTGCACGGCAAAATTTCTCAATGTGCCGACGGACAAAATGTTGAGGGCGGGGGTACCGCAACCCACGAACCCCTCTTTGGCAACACCCCTGTTTCGGAAAAGATGAAATGTAGGTCTAATGATAGGTAACTGGAAAGCACAGAAATTCTTTTGCAGGTATTGCACGGCACAGCCTTTTAGGGAATGTTCCTCGTCTGTACTCTCTGCAAGGAAATTTTACAAACCATGGCAATTTCTTTCTCTTTTCCTTCTCTTGAAACATGTGTCAAATATGATTCAGGTTTACTTATTCTTGTCTTTATAAGCATGATAATCATCTTAGCAGAATAAAAAATTTAATTCTTTTAACTTAATTTCTCGCTTTTTCAAGGTGACACCCCTGTTTTTCAAAGAAGCCATCGACAATCTTTCTGTTGCAATTAAAATGTAAAATAAGATCTCAGCTTTCCGGTAAAAGTGAGCATGTGGCTAGACCTTCTTTCCAACAAGGAACTAAGATGGAAATCTCCAAGAATCAACAAATTGTTAAACAAAAAAGCTATGTTACAGATTTTACAGTTTGTACATGCATTGGTAAAACAACCTTCGCTGTCACCTCCAACCCCCCCCCCCCCCCCCCCCCCCCCCCCCCCCCCCCCCC